CAAGTTATATCTTTCGAGTTGGTCCTTTTTTGTTATTTTTTTTCTTTCTTTCAGTTTCTCCGATGCCAGAAGTTGCCAACACGTGCTGATTATTCTGCCGTTGTTCATTTATCCCCTGATTTAATGAATCAAATAAAAGGGGATGTTTCCCTATTTGAACTAGTTTGTGCCAACTATAATGTTGAAGCAAAAAGAAAAAAAAAAGATTTTGTACTTTGCAAAAATTTAAAAAGAAGTATGTAGTAGAAGTTTTCCTGAGGGTTGCTACAACTTATATTCTTTNCTTATATTCTCTGAGTTACTCCCATTCTGAGATATTTTCTTAATTTTTCGTGGACCGCTGGAAGTTTATAAATATTTATCCATAGGTAACAACATAGAAATACTCATTAAACTTTTAATTCCCTATTAGGGTTACTTCTGTATTGTGAGCAGTTATGCCGACTGCTAACTTTTTAAAAGAATATGTAAAGGTGTGCGAAATGTAGCTACGAGTTATACTCTTCAAGTTGATCTCCGTCAGTTAATTTTTTTTAGTTCCTCCTGGTTGATGCATGTAAGTTGCTTAGAAGATATAGTGATTATTCACCGGCAGATCATGATACGGGCATTTTTCTTTCTGTTTTGCCTACTCAGTGCGAGATGGCATTTTTATTAGCAAATAAGATAGAACGTTTCTATTGACTTTATTCTTATCAGGAAAATATGATAATTGGAAAGCTGAGATGTAAAGCTTTAAAATTTTTTTTTGAGAATTAAAATAGATTTTTCTGTTTTACATTTGTATATAATCTTTTGTTTTTGTTAGTAACACAGCATTTTAATAGCATATTTCTTATAGATTATATTTTAGTTAATGTTGCTTTATGGATACTGCTTTGCAGAAAATATTCTTAGCATAGAAGCTTTGTTATAACAATTATGATATTTTTTTTCTTTCTATTTTACTTTATAACTTTAGTTTTTTTTATAAGTATTTCTTGTTTAATTTTTTGTTTTCCCTTTAGCCCATTCCACTAATATAGATAAGCATAGAGTAATTTCCAATTATAAATAAACTTATTTATTCGTAAAAAATATTTATTAATGAATTTTTTAAAAAAAAAATATTGCTATAAAAATATATTCTGCATTTCACAATTTTTTTTAGCTAACATTCTGCCAAACCATTACTCCTTACCTCTCTAGTCTGAATAATAAATGTGCCCGTATAAAAATAACAAAATATGTTTGAATAATTTCTATGTTTTTAAACGTATTAACTGAATGAATTTTCTTTTTCTTAATCTATTGATGTACTTCTGAGGAAGATCTTTGGAAAGGATCTGGCTTTGAGTATGAAGCTCCATCAAGTCTCATTTGAAGGTTCCTGAATTAAGTATGTTTAAAGAAATAACTGCATTTGAATTGTTTCCTTTTTTCTTGTACTTAAAATTGGGTAAAAAAAATTTCTTGAAATTATAAACATGAACAAATCAACTGTTAAAAATTATTTCAAATAACTTTTACTGATATTAAAAATAGTAGTTAAAAATTGTTTACATAGGCTATCCATGCTTCAATAACAACAAATAAAAGTAATCAAAAACTTGTCTCTTAAAATGAATTATCATATATTGTAAATATATTTTACATGTACTGTAGAATCCTAATGATTTGATGCACAATCGTCAGCATTTGCATTATTCAACTAATTTATAATAAAAGTTTCTGGTGTAAGATTCACCGTTAGTATCAAGTAGAATGGTAAACTGTTACTGTTTTTACCTCCACTATATTTGCTGTTCCAATGTTTTATTTCACTGGCACTTAAAAAATATGTGTTTTATCTGGGTGCATTAAATTAGTCTTTTTATTCATAGTCCTCGATAAGTTTAAACAAATTCTGAAACTTCTATTTTGCTTTTATGAATTCTTCAGCGATCATACATGATGAATCATTTAAAGGCTGAGGCTACTCAAACCAAACATTCAAATGAATTATAAAAGGAATTAACAACATCAATTGGAAATTCTCGGGGAATTAAGATTTATACAAATTGCTTAGTATTTCAAATCTCCGTGGCAGAATCGCAACGGCACGGCGACATTGTTGCAGAATTTTACATAGTTCTTGCAGAGAGATTTTCATAGCTACCAACCCTTCTGCATTTTGCAGAAGCTATCCGCATATTTACTTATTTTAGCTATTTTTTTCTGCTTTTACGCTCAGAAGATAAGATCTTCTGCATTTTATCCGGTCGCCCGATAGCTAGTATTTTCTTTAAGTCAGACTGTATTGACTATACCCCACAGCAATGCTGAATGCGAAAGGGTGTTTTCTGTGGTAAAAAAACTAGGACTCAATTCTGCTCATCAATGTCTAATGAGCAGTCTGCTCGAAAAACTTTTAATAATTAAGTCTAAAGAAGAAATACATTGTTTTAAAAGAATTTTTAGTAGAAGCAAAAGGTGATACTAAAGGATCTTTTCAAAAAAAATTTTTTTTGATGTAATTCTTTCTCCATAATCTCCATTGAGTTTATATATAGTGCATACTATTATAGTGTAATTAAACGAATTTTAATATAAGTCTTAAAATTTTATATATTTCCCTTTAATCAAGAATTAATAGATGAATATAGTTCCCTCAAATAGCTGGTCAAAATTTTAAAATTTTTTTTTACCTTTTCTTGTTTTTAAAAAATGGGGAGTATTTTTTTAAAAATAAATTTATTAGTAATTAGTATGCAGTTGCGAACCTTCTGCATTTTTCTTTGCTGTCATCTGCATTTTTATAACTAGAGGTTGGCAGCTATAGATTTTTCTCTTGAAAAGAAGAAAATATTACATTTCTTTTTTATAGAAATATTTGAACATGCAATATTTGAATCATGCGTTTAGATAATCAGTTTTTGGCACGCTCAATTTTCACCGATAGTATCATAAATCGACGAAACGTTTCGATGATATTTTTGGCAGTTATTGATATTGATTTTCATTTGGTTCTTAACCATCTTGATATATTTAAACAATATGGAAAACTCGAATCGTGCATTTGAGTATCTATTTTTTTAAGGCTATCTATTTATTTTTTTGAAATTCTATCTAATTTTTGGAAGTTATAGTTGTTGATTTCTCCTTAGTTTTTAAATCTAATATTTTTTATACGATATTATTTATTACAACCTAATTTCAAAGTGTAACACGCTTTTGAGTAGTCCAATTTACGTAATTACATCATATATTTTTTTTTTGGGGGGGGGGGAGGAGGGCAATTACTACTATGGATTTCATGATATTTAATATTTTCTTATTGTGATGAATATTTACAAAATGCGAAGAAGCAAATAAAGTGTGTGTTTTCCCACCAACAAAATATGAGAATGTCACCCATAATATTAAAAAAAAATATTTCATGTTAAATTAAGAAAATCAGTATTATTTTTTTTGTTAACACAGCGTATTAGCCATTTTAAATTAGCAACATGTGTGTTTGTTTGTATTAAATGTATTTTGCAATTAGATATTAGTGCTGGAGAGTTTAGTCGCAGATAGCTCAAAAACATTCTGCCACAAGATTTCAAATTATCCTTGTTTTAATTAAAATAAGCCAATTGTATATATGTTTATATATATATATATTTTTTTTTTGTGTACATCTGCAGTTTTCTACAATTCCGCATATTAGAAATTGAACTTTCAATATTGTTAACTTTAATCAATGATTTTATATCTATGACTATACATATGATATTTTCTATTTATATGATATATCTGTCTATGATATTATCACTTTTATTTTTATAAAGTTTTTTTTTCTCAATAACTTCTGCACTATATTATAATGCTTACATTAAATGAAAAAATTTTTGATTTCATACTGTTTGAAAACATCTTTTATCTAAATATCTTATTTTTACCAAGTGAATGTTTTTGTGTTTATTATTTCGTGTTATAGTATTAATGATTAAAATGTTTTAAAACACGATCATCATTTTGTGTATATCAAGGTTGCAAAAAATGCTTACTTTTTTCTAAAAGAGTTAGGCTGACTAGTTTCCATTAATTTATTATATTTTCTTGCATTTTACTGTATATATTTAGCATACTTATGTTCAAACTTTTTATTTTAACAAAAACTATTTAGTGAAACTTACGTTAAATGTCTAATATTGCAGAAAATTTTAAAAATTTTTTTTACCTTTTCTTGTTCTAAAAAAAAAGGGGAGTATTTTTTTAAAAATAAATTTATTAGTAATTAGTATGCAGTTGCGAGCCTTCTGCATTTTTCTTGTCTATCATCTGCATTTTTATAACTAGAGGTTGCCAGCTATGGATTTTTCTCTTGAAAAGAAGAAAATATTGCATTTCTTTTTTACAGAAATATTTGAACATGCAATATTTGAATCATGCATTTTTATAATCAGTTTTTTGGCACACTCAATTTTCACCGATATCATAAATCGACGCAACGTTTCGATGATATTTTCGGCAGTTATTGATACTGATTTTCATTTGGTTCTTAACCATCTTGATATATTTAACCAATATGGAAAACTCGAATCGTGCATTTGAGTATCTATTTTTTAAGGCTATCTATTTATTTTTTTGAAATTCTATCTAATTTTTGGAAGTTATAGATGTTGATTTCTCCTTAGTTTTTAAATCTAATATTTTTTTATACGATATTATCTTTTGAGCAGTCCAATTTACATAATTACATCATATATTTTTTTTGGGGGGGGGAGGGGGCAATTACTACTATGGATTTCATGATATTCAATATTTTTTTATTGTGATGATTATTTACAAAATGTGAAGAAGCAAATAAAGTTTGTGTTTTCCCACCAACAAAATATGAGAATATCACCCATAATATTAAAAAAAAATATTTCATGTTAAATTAAGAAAATCAGTATTATTTTTTTGTTAACACAACGTATTAGCCATTTTAAATTAGCAACATGTGTGTTTGTTTGTATTAAATGTATTTTGCAATTAGATATTAGTGCTGGAGAGTTTAGTCGCATATAGTTCAAAAACATTCTGCCACAAGATTTCAAATTATCCTTGTTTTAATTTTAAAAGAAACCAATTGTATATATGTTTATATTTATTTATTTATTTGTGTACCTACATCTGCAGTTTTCTACAATTCCACATTATACTGTTTGAAAACATCTTTTATCTAACTATCTTATTTTTACCAAGTGAATGTTTTTGTGTTTATTATTTGGTGTTTAAGTATTAATGATTAAAATGTTATAAAATACGATTCATTGTGTATAATAAGGTTGCAAAAAATGCTTACTTTTTTCTAAAAGAGTTAGGCTGACTAGTCTTCATTAATTTATTATAATTTATTGCATTTTACTGTATACATTTAGCATACTTATGTTCAAACATTTTATTTTAACAAAAACTATTAAGTAAAATTTCTGTTAAATTTAAGTTTTGTTTAAAAAATTATGCTTATGCTTTTTTGTTTAAAAAAGCATTAACAGAGGCAATTGTAAAATGTAATTCTTCATTTGAACTAAATAATATAATACTGTAATTAATAAATTACTGAATTTGTTAAAATTACTCCTTTTGTGTATTAAAGATACTGTTTGTGTTAAAAGGCATAGTATTTTTACTGTTTTCATAAATGAGAAATTAAAAATTACATAACTGAAACTAATGGAATTGTGTTTCTGAACTACAAAGTTCTTGCAAAATATTCTGAAGAGGAATGAAAATTGCAGCCAAGGAGCAATAAAAAAATGAAAAGAATGAGAGAGGAAAATAAAATTCTGATGATAAGTAAATAAACAGAAAGTATAGGGCAACTTTTAGGAGAACTTCACCTGACAGGAGAACTTCACCTGACAACAGGCGCGTGTCGTGGCAAGTACTGTGGTTATGAGAAAAAGTCATTTCAAATAGGGGTGTTTTGTGAATAGTTTTGTCTTGATTTTAGATAACTGGGGGTAAACCAATTGACACCTTTATTTCTCCATTGTTCCCCCATTAGAAATGTGCCCTTACTTGTTACCATAGCAGCCGACAACACCAGACTAAAAGCCTGGAGGAGTTCTCCTCCGAGCCACACAAAAAATAATTTTTTGTTTTGTTTATAACTTGCTGTTGGCTTCAATGTAAGATTTAGCTAGGATAAAAAATAAAAAAAATTGTTAAATACTATTCTAATTCAGATTTGTGCTGTATATGTATGTAATTTTGTCGTGTAATATGTGACTAAAATTTGTAAAATAGATTTTCTTATATCTAAATATTTGGATGTACTCAATCGATATATATTTAGTAGAAATTCCATGAAAATAATAGACAGTTTTAATATTTTTTTTACATTTTATTTAACTCTGTATTTTATCTAGTCAGTATTGCTTCGTTTTAGAAATCTACTGTTGGTTGAAACATTTTAATATTATTGTCCGGCATATTTTTTTTTTCATATGCTAAAATAGTTATTTGTTTTCCAGGTACATAGCAGTGAAGAGGTGATACAAACAGCGGGATGGAAGAAGTTATGAATAGATATATTTCTGATCTGTGGCGATGTGTTATAATTGTAAATCTGTATATTGTATGATAGTTGTAAAATAAATAAAACTTAATAAATCTTATTTGATTTAATGTTTTTTTCTGTTTTTAAAATTATCAAGTTAACTGCTCTTCTGGATTAAAAATTGTAATTTTACGAACATACGACTTAGAAAATTTGTAATTTTTGTAAGTAAACAAATCAAATGGTAAATTTGGTTAATATATATATTTTTTTTACTTCGTGTGTGTGTTAAAGTAAATTTTAGTTAAATTTTTCTAGCTAAAAACTAAAAAATATGCATTTAAAAAAAAAAATAACCCAAAAGCATTTAAGAAGAGTAGATAATTTCAAGCAAGCAATTTGGAAACATGGATTTAAGGAGAGCAGTAGAATTTTTAATTATTAATTTGAAGTAAAAAAAAATAATATTTTTTCCATAGGGGTTTGGAAAATCATGTAAGTATTGAGTAATTTTTTCTCCTACCAATTCTTTATATTACAAACTTTTAGGCATGAAAAATTTTAAAAATTCCTGAGAGACATGAAACTTCGTAAATAAACTAGTATGTTGCTGTGAAGAGGTAGTAAGAATTGCATTCCATATTCGTTGAGTTATAATTTGAATTGTAAAAATTTACAGAAAGTGTGAGATTAAAAACAAAAAGCTTTTTCTAGGATTCTTAAAAAAAAGCATTAATATCGGCATAATATAGTTATAAGCATAATATAGTAATAAGCATAATATAGTTTGATAAGAATTAAAAGTTTTTTTTAAATAAAAGATAAATGCTATATTTTTTAGTGTAATTAGTGCAGTGTAAACATTAAAATACGGAATGGTTTCTTCCCTTCTTAGTTAAAAAAATTAAAATTACGTTAAAATTGAAATTAATTTAGTTAAATTTACGCGAAAAATTTATTAATTCACCTAACTCAAAATAAGCGTTAAAACTATTGATAATAATACGTAAATAGTACGGATAAAATCCGTTTGTATTTTGGTTAAAATAACGTTAAATGTGCGTTATTTTAATAAAAATAAGCGTTAAAAACACGTAAATATTCATGGTGAAAAAAACGAATTTCTAGAGCCAAAAATAAACGTAAATAGTTGGTGAAAAAAGCGTAAAATATGCGTTAAAAAAGAAACCTGCTTGGTTAAAAACAAGTGAAAAATTGGTCACGAAATTCACCTTGGTCAAAATGAAGGCAAAAATCCGTAATTTTTACGTTAAAAACAACCCAAATATTAACGTTTTTTTAACTAATTCTGAACTACCACTTGAAACGGAAATAAAACGCTTTGAAGAAACGTTTTTTTGCTCTAAACCTTGTGGCATTTTAACGTTATTTTCACGCAATTAATACTTATCTCTGCTGCACTTTATTTACGTCACAATGGGCTATTGGCGACGGTCAGAGAAACATTCTTGAGAATGATTCGAAGACATACTATCGCAAATTTGATTCTATGCAGAGGGGATGTTCCCCTGCTTTGGTAGCCCAACGACCTGTGTGCGAAGTCGAGCACTTTACGGTACAACAGTTTAAAGAGGATCGATACGGCGCACCCTCGGTTCCTACGCAGGCTGATCAAAGTGATCCCCCAACCGTTTACTAACCGCAGCCAGTGATGCGCGTTCTACTGGGAACCGTGTCTTTACGATCAGTCCATTGAGGAACTACATGAATATTTACAATCATTGATAAAATTAATTATTTTAATTAATAGGAGAGTATTAAGAGCGCCGTATTTAGACGGCATCCACGTGACAACCTGTGCGTACGAGTGCCGTATTTAGCTGATATCAGCGTTAGAGTGGTTGGTAATGTGCCCAATTTAATTCTAACTGCCACTGGCTAACATTCCATTGGCCCAAGTCCTGCAATGGACAGATCGTAAAGAGACCGTTCCCAGCAGATCACCGAAGTCAAGCATCACTGTCTGCGGTCGGTAAGCGGATGGATTACCACTTTGATCACCCTGCATAGGGACAGAGGTTGCGCGGTATTGGTCCACGCCACTCAGTTTTAATATAAAGTGCTCGACTTCGCGTGCAGGTCATCGGGCTACCAAAGCAGGGTACCCATCCCCTCTGCAGAGGGTCAAATTTGCGATGGCATGTCTCCGGATCATCCTTAGGAATGTTTCCCAGATCGTTGCCAATAGCCCATTGTGCAGTTCTAGTGTGACGTAAATGGCGTGCATATCTACCATTGGACCAAAATTAGATTAATACTACTATAAGACTATTTGAAATGATCTTGACATGTTTTTTTTATTTAACTGCATTCTTATTTATAATACTTGCAAAATCTCAAATTATATTGTAATGTAACATCTAAATAAAAAAAAATACGAACACATAGTTACTGACATGCAGTGTGCAAACGTGCTTTGCATTGCCCAGTGCCTTCACTTCTTGGGAGTGGACTGGCTTAATGAAATGATTAAAAATTATGATTATTTGTAATTGACTTTTCTTTCATAGTTGCCAATTTGCATGTTGGGAAAGCCTTTACAAAGATGTAGTGTATCAATACTTAATATATTAAGGATTTTCCAAACAATTATGCTACTTGAAAATCTGATTTACATTAGTTGGAATTATTGCTTTGGAAGGTAAAGCTCTTTATGATTGAAATTTATAAGTTAAAGTATAATTGCTGCAACAAGTAAGAAAATGACTTGTCTCTCAGTAGGCAATTATGATTTGAATTATTTTTTCTCCATTCATCTATGAGGGATAAAACCAGGGTTTAAAGTGTTTATTTGACCGAAATTGATGGTTGTTGTCTTCCACCGTTGAATGTTTACAATCACATAGTTGCTTTGGTAAATGTCAGAAATATATAATTGGTCTAGTTAAGTGCCCTTACCTGGTATACCTTTTCCCGGTGTACCCTACACTGATGTTTTTTTAAGGTTCGGTGCTACGGCCTGGTATACAATTGCCCGGTATGTCCTACATCATTGTTTCTTAAGGTCAAGTGCCATTGTCCAAATAAATTTGCATCATGTAAATTTTCTTTCATTTGGTTTTTATTTTCAAAACGGCTCTTACTTCGCCCTCGTATAACTTCAAAAATTAAATTTTTAAACAAGAAAGAGGCAATGTTTTGTTGTATTATTGTCGTTTATTTATATTTCAATGATTCGCAGGTGTCCTGATGCGATAAGCAAAAAGACTCTTCCAATATTGTCGTGTCGTCTCCTCTCAAAGTCCAGTCCTGTTTCTCTGTAGTGGCAAATAATATGAATATTATGGTTGAGATGACTAATATGATAACTGTTATTCCAAAAACGATGTACCGTTGTGCCAGAGTTTGCTGAAATGATATTGATAGTGTTATTGGAAAAAAGATGAATCGAAAAAAAAAAATTAAATTAAGACAGTGCAGAAAATTAACATATATCAATGCGGGGAAAAAACATAAACTGGGGAAAACATAATTTACTTTAAGCTTATTTTGAGGAAAAGTAAAATATCAATAACAATCAATATTTTTCAAAAGATTTAACACATGCATCGATGCCAACTTGCTCCGAACAGTGGATAAATATTTTCGTGTGGTAGTCTTTTAATCTGTGATTCTTGTTTCAGTAAATTCGATTTATTAGACTTTTACTCACCACTACTCGTACTACTAAATAATTCAAACGCTGATATAAAACGCCACTTTGTGTCAGCTGAGACGTGTTGAGCCCTTTAAAAAGTTGGCAGAATTTACCGAAAATATGCAAATTTTAGTTTCTAGTTTTCTACCGTTTTTTAAAACATTTTGTCCAATCCGGAGCAGTTGACATCTCTACATATATACATGCACAACACTGTCGCGGGCAGGGGTAGCCTGGTCTGTAGGCCCTGGGCCCATGACCGAGAGTTCGTGAGTTCGAACCCCGCCGGCCGAAGACTCTCCGTGTAATTGGTGACTGATGCACGTAAAAATTGTGTCGAGTCGCAAAGTCCTCCATGTTCCCACAACAAATCGATACCTCTGGTGGTACTGGATTGGAGATCGATCGTTCTCTGATTCAGGTCAAAATTAAGATCTCTGGATGAATGAATGGATGTATGAATAGGTGTGACGTATGATGTGGCAGAAGTCTAATTCTTGTCCATAGATAACGCCACTGAAAAACAAGAAGTACACCATCTGCCTTAAATCTGCTCGGTTTCACCAAGCAGTCTTGCTAATGGCAAGTGACACTAGAACCAACCAAAAAAACCACAACACTGTTTCGATTCCTAGAGCAGGGATGCCGTAGGCTACTAAAATAGTTAAAAGTGGTAACTAATAAAGAGCAACAATTTGTTAAAAGACATTTAAATTCGCATTTTTTACATGCATATTTCTGTCCGCTTAATAATGAAAGTGAAGGACTAGTATGTTTCTCTTTTAAAAAATTAATCATTTTAAAACTAAGTTATGTTGGTAGTTATGATTGAATAATTTAATGTATTAAAAGAAGTTTTTCAGAGATGCCAACTTGGTCCCGACAGCAAATATATATTTTAAAGTTTATCAATTGTGATTCTTGGTTTAATAAATTCAATTTAGTAGATTTTTATCCACCACTATTTCTAAATAATTTCTAGGCTTATATAATTCAACACTTTATAATACATATGTCATGCTATACCTTTTAAGAAGCAAGCAAAAATAGTCAAATGTTTGTAAAATTTATTTTGAATTTATCTACCGGTTTTTTAATCAATTTGCAGGGATGCCAACTGCTTTCTGGAATAGTTTTAATAAATTGGTACCAAATTATATAGTAAAATGCGCGAGAGACGAACAGTCAAGCCTACTATTTAATAGAGTAACCAGTAGATTGATGCTTTAACGTTGCATTTTATATGATACTTATAGTTCTTGATATTTAGTGGTGAAAAAATCACTTAAAAGGGAAAATACTAAACATAAAGTTACTTGAACTTCGCTACCACTAGAAAATACTACTAATACAAAGCGGAGCAAGTTGGCAAAGCGGAAAATACAAAGCGGAGCAAGTTAGCATCTCTGAATTTGGCGTGTGCGGAGCAGTTGGTATCTCTGGTTTTTACCTCTTTTCAC